GCTTGGAGAACTTTGGTATGTTTGTTTATTCTTGTTTTTTTTTTTAAGTTTGCTTAACGCTTTTATCTAACTAATTATGGAGGATCAGCTTAGGGATGGCCACTTTTAGCAAGTTGCAGGCATTTTGAAAAATGATTCTTTCATAGCTACTGCCCTAAACAGAGGAGTTCTTAAACCTGCTGCTCCTCTACCAGGGAATATGGTATTTAATGTGTGTGTGTAGATAGAAAAGTCTAGTTGGGAGAGCTGGAAGATGGAGAAAATGGAATTAYTGAGGTTGGAAAAGACCTCTRAAGTCATTGAGTCCAGCCATAAACCYAACACTGCCAGGCCCATCAATAAACCACGATTATTTGGGTTGGAAGGGACCTTMAAGTCCATCCAGTGTCACCCCAGCCAGGGACAGGGACACTTTCCACTGTCCCAGGTGCTCCAAATCCYAATSTCCARYCTGGCCTTGGACATTCCAGGGATCCAGGGGCAGCCACAGCTTTTCTGGGATTTCCATCCCATCCCCTCCCCACTCTGACAAGGAGGATTTTTTTCCCCAATACCCAGCACAATGCACAGATTTGCACTGTTCTAAAGATTTTGAACAGCTTCATTTTTGATAAACACCCAAAACATCCCAGATGTCTCCACGGGCAGTGCCAGAGGATGGAATTGTCCACGTGGCTTCCAACCCCAGAGTGCAGCTGGAGCAGATGGACCTAGGAGTGACCTCGAGGTTGTTTAGGGCATGTGCTCCATCAAGGGGAAGTGGAACTAAAAGTTCCCTCTAATACACCTCATGCCTTAAAAACAGCTTTTAAAAAAATTTGTAATTCAGGTAGGACACAATGTGGTTTTGTGGTGTGGTCCCATAGTAGATCCTTTGCTCTCTCAGTGATGCTGTTCTGTTTCATGAAAGGAAAAAGTGAAAATGGGCTGTGTTGGAAGAGCACCCATTAATTCAAACACCACATTTGCAGTGCCAACAACAGTTTTAATTTTCACGTGAAATGTTTTGTTGAAGTTGATGCAGTTTTACTCAGCGACCACAATACGATGCTTTAAGGCTTGTTAAGGAATTACAGTTGGTTTTTAAAACCAATTAACTGCAACAAGGACATAATCTTTTTAATGCAAAAGTCCTTACTCTGTAATATAGAATAACTGCATGCAAAACCGTCTTAATCAGGTAATTTTTGCTAAAACATGTATTAACTGTGTGAAACTAAACAGGAGTTAATTTTTGAATCAGCAGAATTCCTCTGCAGCTTACCCAATTTAAACCTTTTCCATTATAAAAATGGATATTCCGATTGATATTTCTGACAAGCCTCTGCCAAATGGGAATTTCAGCAGCCACCTCTCTCACACACAAAACTGGTTTCAGACCATTAACTCTGTTTGCAGTGCTGCCCATTGCTGTAAAAAGAGCTCGACTTTAATGAACACTGGCTGACCCTCCAAATGCTCGCCTTCCACTTGGATTCTTATTCATTATGGTGCTGAAATAGCACATAACCTGAAAGGGAGGGAATGCCCTTGAAATAACACAGAAACAGCTCGTGCTTCCTCCAGCACGTGAACCCAGCTGGAAAAGAAGGAGCCCAGSAAACTGCACCAGGCCAGTGTGAACCTTCTCACTTGTTGAGATAAATGTGCTACAAATCCCCCCTGATGGCCACTGTGCACAGCTCTGTGTGTATTTACTCGTTCCTTAAACCAAAAAGGAGTAAAAAGGCTTTTTTTTTTTGTGCCTGGCAGTGCTACCTCTGCCCCAGGGAAGGTGGTTTATGTMTCACTTGGGTTGCAAAGAAATAGCCTGTGTAAAGAGGTGTTAAATTTGTAATTTTAGTTGCAGGTTTAAAAAAAAGGAGAAGTTTCATACTTCTGTGTAGTTAAAAGATGGCAGTGGAAAAGAGGGTGCTGAGGCAGCCCCATGGGTTGGATCTTTTGAGCGGTGCTGTAAATTGTGATCTCTGCCTTCATCAGAGCTGCTCAGGGGGTTGGTGGTGATGGTGGAGCTGTTGGGTGTTACAGACCTCAGGGAAAAGCTGAAGGCAGCAGGAGACACCGAATTGTGGAGTGGTTTGGGGTGGAAAGAACCTTAAACCCATCCAGTGCCACCCATGCCATGGGCAGGGACACCTTCCCACCGTCCCAGGGTGCTCCAAGCCCTGTCCAAGCTGGCCTGGGACACTGCCAGGGATCCAGGGGCAGCCACAGAATTCCATCCCAGGCTGGAATTCCATCCCAGCCCCTCCCCACTCTCCCAGGGAACAATTCCTYCCCAATATCCCTCTCTAACSCATTCCCTATCACTTCATGCCYTTGTRWAAARTGCTTCCTCAGCCTTCCTGTAAGCCTCTGTAAGGTCCTGGAAGGGAATGTCCATAGTTCTTAGTGCCCCAGGGTCAAGATAACCAGTTTAAACAACCAGAGCCCAGCTAGAAGTGCTCGTTTTTGGTAGCTCAGTGCCTTTGAAATTCGGAACCCTCAAATAGGCATGTTTGGGACTGGAAGTAAATGCAAGAATTTATGGTTTGTTGGTGACCAGGAGACAAAACTTATAAATATTTTGCTAATTGGGAGTTGTTAAAGCTGTTATAAAATAAAATGTTGCAATTCCCTGTAAGTAAGCTGATAGGATATCCATTTTTTGCCTTTAGTCAGGAATAAAACACTGAAATTCGTCGGCTCTTTCTTTTGGATCACCTCTGCCCCGTCTTGCACCTTGCCCCGTCAGCCTGATTCTACTCAGTGTGAACAAACAAATTCTAATTGGTTTATGGAAGTCATGAGTGGTTTTTTATTATTTATTGGGATTTCTTCTGTGGGTTCAGGAGGTTATAAAGCTGCTTCTATGAAAGATGAGGACTTTTACTCYGGGCAAGTTGAGCGAGAGCAGCTGTAACGTGATTTGTGCAATGCCTTGCTCAGTCCCTTTCCCTTTCTGGGAAAAMCAGTAATTTCTGCTATTGCTGTAATTTATTTTTCACTTTTTTCTCTAAAGATAAACTGGCAGTTTCAGTCACTTTAGGACAGGCAGKGATGGTGAAACATCATCTGAAACTGGGCTGCAGTGCAATAGAATGAGTGTTAACATGGGCCAGGCCAAATACTGAGAGAAACAGAGCAAGGGCAGAGCTCTCTGGGGTCACTGGTGCTGTGTCCCCACTGCTTTTATTTATGGACCCCCACAATGGACCCTTTTCAGTGATAAACATAGAAAAAGTGAAATTTAATTTGTCTGGCGCTCCAGAATTCTTCCAGATGCTGTTTTAAACCAATGTGTATTGCTGTTATCACAAAACCAAACTGTAGTGTTAACTCAAAAATGAGGCACAAATTTCATAATTGGTTTGGAAGAACTTCTTTAGTACATTCCTTGTGACCATCAAACAGATGGAGACGTCCGTATGTTTCGTAATTTTGGAATTTGAAGGGATTCAGATTGTGAAACTTCAGTTTTAAAGTTTAGGATTAATTTGAGCTGGCTGTGATGTTCTTACCCTGAGCTGCACCTTGCAGAGCCCTGCCCTGCCGAGGATGATCCCAGCCCTGCCTCAGTGATCCCCAAACGCTCCACAGCTCTCAGCTCCCAAATTCACAGCCCAGGAAAATCAATCAGACTCTTTCCCTGCCTGAAATCCCGGGTGTTTGCAGAGATGGAGCTGAGCCCTGCAGGATTCTGAGGCTTTGGGGGCCCCTGTGGTTTCCGTGGTCCCCCAAAGAGCGTTGGGCGTGGGCCGGGTTTGGGCAATGGATGCGGCGCCGTAAAACTGAGAACGACAGATCAAAGGTTTGAGCAGGAGGTCAGATAGGTTTTGAAAACTTAATCAGCTTAAATTTGCTTCAGAACTCGGCTGTGTGAGATTCTGTCCCCCCTAAGAAAATATTTGTCTGAGACACCTGTCCTCAAGTTTGAGAGCCAAGAAGACGAGAGAGCTGAGCAGTTCACCTGAGGACAGCATGCTGGGGCTGGGCTGGTTTCTGCAAGAAAAACACAAATCAGGTTTCTCTCCTGAAATGGAATTGCATTTATTTTTTTATTACTATCACTATTATCAAATTATTTCTGAAATTAAATTATTTGAGGGGAAAGAAAAAACCTTAAGGGCTGTTTTTCCTGTGGCTAGAAATATTTGCTTGCTGGGTTCTGATATGACAAAGCAACCTTGTTTTCAGCTTGGTTTATTCTTTAGCTTTGAGCTGTGAAAAAAAATGCTGGGACAAGGACAGAGCTGTATGGCCGAGCTGGCTGAGCTGCACCTTGGGTGGATTTTCTGTGTAATCCCCACCTTTCCTAAGGAAGGGATGAGCAGAAGAGAGGTGAAGCTGCATTCCCCATATCACACTGTACCCTGGCAGCCTCTTCCTGGGATTCTCCCTCATTTTTTTCCCCTCAGTTCAGGCACAAATCCACCCTGATAAACTCATTTGTTGTGTGTTGCCTCCTTCCCCTGCCGCACACACACACACACACACACACACACACACACTCATTCTCTCCTTTTTTTTTTTTTTAATCCGCAGAACTCTTTATGTTTTCCTAATAATTGGCAGCAGAGGTACAATTTCTCCCCTCTTTTAAGTGATGAATAGTTGGCCCGAGATCAAAGCCCGAGCCCTGGCGGTTTTTTTGGCTGCCACAAAAGGGCGTTGGGGCTGGCGCGGGGCCGGCGCTCGGCGATGGGCACGCGGAGGAGGTGCCAAGCCCGGGGCTGGGTGGCAAAATGTCTGTGCACGTCCTCTGTCTGAGCTGATGGGTTTGTCCTTTGTGTGTGTTCCAGGCCAGCAGCCGGCTGAAGCAGACAGAGCAGGAGTACAGCCTGAAGCTGGCCAAATCCTCGCAGGTAGGTGGCCAGGAGCTCAGGTGAACCTGTTGCGCTTGGAAGCTCAAGGAAAAGCGGAGTTGCTTCGGTTCTTTGGCCCGGAGAAGTCGTGGCTTGTTGCCAAATCAAACGTCCGGTGTCTCCTTGCAGATTTTGAACCGAAATAAGTGCAGAGCGTTAAGCTGGCTAGAAAATACAAGGTGGGGTTTTGTGAGTTCTGAGTTTGGTCTTTTTTATCGACATCGTCATCTCCTGAGGATCCAACAGGACTGAGCCCTCCCTCAGCCAGTGGGGAGGAAGGTGAGGTGCTCCAGCAACATAAAATCAGAAGTTACACAATCAGAACTTTAACATTTCATGTTAAAGGTGGTGTCACCCATGGTTTCTTCATTTTTATCATTGATCCCCACCAGTTCTGCGTTTCTGCCCAAAACAACACCTTGAGGAATGGCAGTGTCCTCCAGGCATGCTGGTTTTGACTTGAGTTTCTGTTCTTCAGAGAGCTCAGAAGATGAAAATGAGTGTTGAATTTACATATATACTTAAAAAGGGTGAGATGGGATGATTTTTAAATACTCCAGCTTTCAGTTTGACTGGCAGGTAGTACTGAAGTGTGAAAAATGATGGAGATGCAACCAGAAGTTAAGCTTTTAATAGGAAGAAAATTGCCAGGAGGATTTGTGTGGAGGTGTCATTCTCCTCATCTCTCTCAGCCACAGCAGAGTGTCTGCCTTGCCTTGCAGAGGGTGTTTGTAGCCAATAGTCCAATAATAATCTTTTAAAATCAATAAGAACACTACCAAGAAAGGTTTAGCAGCCTCTAAACTAAACAGAAGTGATCAGGGAGACAATAACAAGAAATTGCAAACTTTTTTAAAATGTTTTTTTAAAATGTTTACCAACACTTTAAAATACTTAAAACTCTCTATTTCAGCTTTTCAGCTCCTTGAAGTCTTATTCTCTGTAACACTTGTCCAAAACCGTGGCTTCAGTTATTTTGATGACATTTTTTGGCTCTCACTGTTTCACGTTACATTTATCAGAATCAGTGGTAAATATGTCTTATATTTCTCAAATCTAATGTGTATTTTCTGCACATTTATTTGCATAAAGAGAGGGATCTCCATGCTTGGAGATACTTAAAACATGACTGGGCTGGTCCTGAGCAGCCAGCTCTGGGTGATACATCTTTAAACTGGTCCATTCCACCCTCACCAATTCCACGTTTCTGTGGTAAATCAGAGAGATTGCTCTCCCTCCTAAAAACCTTTTCAGTGATTTTAAATTAGTAGTTTAGTCATTTTTGAGGGCCTTTTTTATAAAGAGAGAAAGAGACAACAATGAAAAAACTCTTATTTTTTTTGTCTTTCCATCTGAACCTGAAAAGCAGGAAATGGTTAAAGCTCAAAAAGTAACATTTAATCCATGTCAGACCTGAAGGAAGAGAACTCTTCCACAGCCTCCTCTATTTTACCTTTTGTCATTGTCACCCACATGAGAGTGGAATCAAGGCAGTCTTTCCATGCCAGTCATAATCTAATGTCAGTACAAAAAATGGTTCTTGCTCCATTTGTTAAAGACAGTGGGAATAATTGAAAGCATTTCTGAATTATTAATTCAGGGATGAGAGAAATCACTTTTAATTGTTGCAGTGGGAACACGTAGATAGTGTAGCTCAAGGTAAGAACTCTTTAACCTAAATGTCACACTAAATTTTGTCAGTGACATTTATTGGCCTGCAGAACAGTCTCAGGATGGAGAAATTTGGGGATGTGTTTTGTGTTAAGGTGGCTTTGCTGTCACTGAGGAGGGAGCTGTACCCGGTTCATCAGTGTTTTTTGGGGCAGACACAACACACACATCATCTGCCAGGGCTGCTCCATACAGCACCTTCACCTGAATGGCTGAATTTCCTTACTTGTGTGGCTTTAAATCAAATCCCCCAAGCTGCTTGGCCATGGTTGGGTTTGGGGTTTTTTCACAGCTCGCTGTTGATAATCGGCCGATCGCGACTTTTCTTGTGGTGGCGTTGCTGACAACATCTGTCTGATCTTACTCTCCTCGGCCTCTTGGAACATTTGCTTTTAACACCCACACAGAGAAGATATTTCAAGAAATTTCCTCTGAAGTTTATACAAAGTCAATAGAATTTTTCACTCCGAAAAGTGCTGCACAAAGCAGATCTTTCTTCATCAATTCCTGCTGAAATCTTCTTGCATGCATTTCAGAACTCCTGTACTAGGCTGGGCTCTTAACTCAGGAAAAGTTTTAAATCTCAGGTTTGGGTTCTGTTGAGAGTTTGTAACTTGTTTGTAAAAGTGACAAAATGAAGTGCATGGTTTCAAGCTGTTATCTTATTAATTTATTGATTAATTATTGATCCATTGCTTTGTCCTGCACGTTACCCACCTGCTAAAACCACATTTCTGCAAATTGTCTGTCTTGTGAACAACGACCTCAACTGCAAACCCAGAGATGCTGCTTCATTCTGCCTAAAGAGTTGCACCCTGTCCAGATAAACTCTGAACTTTGGCATATTGGTATCCACTAACCTTCTTTTTGATGGATATTATCTTTTAAAATATGTATTTAACCTATATGTATAATATAAAATACTGTATTTTTAATATGTATTGTCTAAAGCAGTACAGAATTACAAAGGTAGGTTTTACATATAATCTGTGTTACTTCCTGGGGTTTTCAAGCAGTTAAGCAGAAATAAATTTTCTACAGGTTTTTAGTCAGGTCTTTTCCCCTTTTCCCAGTGATTTTAGTTCCTTGATTTGTACCACATCTCTTCTCACACTAGTCCTGGCCTATTATTAGGGTTTTTTTAACTATTTTTCTTTCCTAAATAGCCATGTAATTAATGTTTCTCTGCCAGTGAGGAGGTGTGGCAGATACAGAGTTTAAGCACTCTGGTCCCTCCTTGAGCTGTCTGTGTGCTGAAGTGCTTTCAGAGTTAAACCATAATATGCTGCTGCAGCAGCTTAACCTTAAGCTTGAATATATACATTAAAGTCAGGGATTCTCCCACATGTTTAAGTGCTTTGCTGGGTGATGACATGTCAGTATAAAATTCTGTAAATATGCCTAAAAGATCAGGGTTAGTTATGACTTTCCCCAATGATGAAAAAGGTAAAACAAATACAATTCAACAAATCACAAGCGAATCACCTAAAAGGTCTCGTTTAAGGTCTTAATGTGGGGTCAGGTCCCCAATGTATTGCTCAGCAGAATCTAAAAGGAGATCAGCAGCTCAGAAATTTCCCTGTCAAGTTTAAATTTCAGTCCAGCGTGTTAATGTGAACGTTTTTCTTCTCAGCAGTATCAAGCTGTAAAATATTCTCCAGAAAAAGGGGCAGCACCATCACCCCGATGTAAACTCACACTCCCAGTTTTGGGGTGGTGGAAGACGGGCACCAGGCTGGAGTTGGAAGATCACAGATGTGCTTTGTTCTCATGAGCAAATATTTTGGACTGTCACAGTGGAAAACACTTCCAAATATTTTGTGTTCAGCAATTCCCATCACTGACAGCCTCACTCTCTTCCTTTTCTCCACATGGCATTTCATGCCCTGCTATTTCCAAACATCCATCTTGGAACAGCAGATCTTTCCAATGCCATATTTATATAAAAAACCACTCAAAATACTTTTGTATTTTGTGGAGGGGAGCTTTAACCTGCTGTTTTCTTTTCCAGGAGATAACTGTGCTGAAGACAACCATTTCCTCCCTGATGGAGGAGAACAACCTGCAGCAGCTTGCGGCCGAGCAGCGGCTCCAGGACGTGGCACAGAAATTGGAAGATGAGAAGCAGCAGCTGATGGAAGATAATGACAGAACAATCAAGGTAATCTGGGGATTTCTCGTCAAAGAAATGAGGGGAATTAAAAGTTATGAGTGCAGGTATGGTCCCTGCTCACCCAGAGCTCACCCAGATGCCCCGGCTTTGACCTGGCTGATCACATTCCTGGATTTGACACATCTGATCCATCCACGTCAGTCACATATTCAAATCTTTCCTGTTCTCTTTCTTTTTGTACCACTCCTGATATTTTTGCTTATTTTCAGCACTTTTCTGCTGTGCTTTTAGGGCTTGGAAGAGAGAAAAGGTGAAAAATAGGAGAGCAAGGCAGTGGCATGGCCTGGGCTGCAGTCTGGTTTGCACAAACCTTCCCAATTTCCATCTTTAAGGCTGCATTGAAGGAAAGTTTGGCCTTAATTTCCATTGAAATCTACATGCAAAGTCTATGCTGAATGAGGATGGAATAAAGTATTCATTATTTGTATTTTTGGTCGTTAGATTTTTCCAGATTTTGCATCAGAATCGTATTTTTTGTCCTTTTTCGATTGTTTTAGGAGGCTGAATAGCCAGGCTCTGTTCTTGCTGCTTTGACACCTCGATTAAAAGTGGCTGCAGAGAATCCCACCTGTGGAAGTGAGCAGAAATCATTTTTAAGCCCTTTTTTTCCCTCAGAGTAGTAAAGAGCAATGGAAAAATTTTGAAACTAATGTGATCTGCTCATGTTGGCAATGGAAACACCTCCTGAGAAGTTGTATAGAAAAGGAAATCCTTTTTTTTTCCCTTTCTAAAGGCATTTACTCGTACCAAAGAATTACATTATTAAATGTAGAAACTCATGAAAAAATCATGAGTTCCCAAAAAATCAACTCCTACAGTTTACTTAATTTTTTTGTGCCCAAAAGGCACAAATGGAAGTTTTTAAATGTTGGATATCTGTTGGATTGTGGTGCAGTTAATGTTCTCCTTTATAAAGGAGTGGCGTCTATTAGGTTGTCATTTTTGCCTCATCATCTGCAAAATGTGCTTTTTCTTCTCTTTCATCAATTTTTTTAATGATCATTATATTTTCTTAAGGAAAATGTCTGCCTTTGTTTGTGTGTTTGTTGAGGAGAAGAATTTTCTTTGTGAATTTTTTTTCTTCTGTGAAAGGCGTAACTACAAAAAGGTGTAACTATAAAAATCATGAATATAATCTGGTTATAATCTGTTATCCAAGTGGAATCAGCACAGGTAGGTTATTTTATCACCAGGTTCTGCTGATAGAACACAGGTAAATCACATTATTCTCATGCACAGGTAAGTTTTTCCCCTGTAGGAGCAGCTTTTTTCTTCTGATGCAAATTCCATGTTGAATTTATGGATTCCCTTAAGCTGAGTTACATTCAATGGAATAATTCAGCTGTTGGCAGCACCAGTTTTGGAGCACTGATGATTATAGGTGGTATGAAACCCTTCTGTGTTCAGCTGTTATAATCTTAATTTTGATGTTATTACCTCACAATGTAATGAAATCCATAAAAACCACAGGGAAATTCAGCAAAGGGTTTCTGAGCAGTGTCCCAGAGAGTTTTTAGCAGCTTTTAAAAGATTTTGTCGACTTGGAGAAGAAATTGGAGGAGCTGTTTAGCTTGGAGTTCTTGAATTTTGTTTAGTATCATTAWTASTGTACTTTWAAAAAAWWTTCTTCCTTTGAAACCACTGATTTAATGGAAATTTACTGAAATCCAGATACCCAAGCAGAAAATTCCTAGGAAGCTGAAATGCTGTGTATACTTCTGGAACCAGCAAAAGCTGGTTTTAATATTTGATCACTTAATATTTTTAAGAACCTCACATACTTCTAGGCAAGCATATGCAGAAATACTTTGCTTTTTATTAGCCTGGGGCAAAAAAAAAAAAAAAAGGGATTTTGGTAAAAATGGAATCCTGGATGTCCTGGAGATGGGGAACAACATCTAATGCAGGGTAAGCTGAAGACCTCGAGGGATGATTAAAGAGACATTCTACAAACAAAGCAATTCTTAATATAATGTAAGCCTTTGAGGAGGCTCAGTGTAGTAAAAGCTCTTGAAAATGCTGTCATTAAAAAGCAGCCTTTGCTAAATATAACATTGATTTAAACTAACATTGAGGAACAGATTGCAATTTCCTCTATTGGTATTGGGTGGCTTCCTGGAAGACCTTCCAATTATTATTTCCTTTCAAAGGGAGAAATACATTTTTTACAGAAACCGACTGGCTCTCAGAGAAGTTTTGGATTGAGGCAGTGAAGTGATATCCAGATGTGGATGCCATAATACACGATTTTGATGTTAATTCAAATTCCTGCCTCTCTTTGCTAGTAAAAGATTTGGATTCATTATTATTGCACAATTGCATCCATCTTCAACTCAATATTTTTTAAGGTAGTATCTTGAATAAATGGAACCTTCAAGAGCATTTTGCTTCTTTTGACGACCTAAAACCCCTGATCTGAGCTTGTTGGGCACTGAAGTGTGGTGTAAACTTTTTTTTTTTTTTTAAATTTGATTCTTACATCCCTATAGTGATGTACCCACAACAGCCTGGAGCTTGATAATTCCAATGGTCAGAGCCTTCACCAAACTCCTCTGCTGCTTTTGGTTACTGGACTGGGCAGAAGAAGGGGTTGGTGGCATCATAAAGATACCTTGAGGTTATTTATGAAATCCCCCAGTTGTTTGGGTTTTTTTTTTTTTAATGAAATCCTTTTGGATGCTGGGATTAAAAGTACAAAACAGTTCCTGGGATTGGAACTGCAAAACATGTTCAGAACATTTTAATGTTGCAGTTGATGGCCAAGTGGGGACTCCACATCAAAAAGCAGATTCTGGAAAGAAATAGATGATGGAGAGCACACAGTGACAAACCCACAACAGAAAAGGAGGAAAATGATGCTTTTTGTGCCAGATGAACCACAATTGTTGTTTGATTCCTGTTACAGATTCTAGGATTCTGTTATATCCCTGAATTAACACCAAAATTTCATTAGCAAAGCATGGTTGGAAGATGACAGATTTCAACACTTGGTGTGTCAGCCAGCTTATGATCACATTAATTCTCTTAATAAATAAGACTTAAAAGATTTCTAGGAAAGAATGTCCCTTAATAATGTTCCCCTTCATGTGAAAAATTCTGAGGCAGTTGGTTTTGGTTTTTTTTTTTTTTCTTTGTTATGTTTCAAAATGTTGGGAGGAGGAAAAAAAGTATTTTATAGCCATAGCAGAACAAAGGGGAAAACTTCTGGGTTGAAATTGTCTGGGCCTTTGTGGGCACTGAGTATTCCTAATATCCTACTGGATTTATTAGATGCTGCTGTGTCCTGGAGCCAAAGGGTTGTTTCTTCTGCTAAGTACTGAATGTTTTATCAACACGAGGAATTTCCTCTGTGAAACCATAAAAAATAGCAAATTTCTGTATCAGAAAAAGCGTTGTTTTAACAATTTGATGCATGAGCTGATTTCTATTTCATTATCAGCCATGTTTATTGGCAAATTCCACTTACAACTATGGATAACATTCTGTATTAAAAGGGAAAGCACATTAATCTCTGAGAACATTAACTGACTGCAGCACTGCAGAGATATTTTGGTTTTTGTCCTCAAAACACCTTTTGGAACAGCTCTGCAAGAGCCAGGGTTGGAGTTAGTAACAAATGAAGAAACAATTCTGATTTATTGGTTTAAAAGTCCCAAGCAAAGGTAAATATAAGTGGTTTAAATGCTTTTAATTAGTGCTTCTTAAGGGAGGAGAGGCTTTAGGGAAACTGAAGTGCCCTGATCTGGAGAAGGAACATTTTTAGTCCTGTTTTAAAAGTGAGACAGAGGAGGGCAGAGCTTTGACTTCATCCAAAGTTTGTGGCAAAGGTGGAAATGAAGGCTGTAATGACTGATGGTGCAGAAGGCTGTGACCTTATGTCAGTGACAACACACAGGACATTAATTAGGGGAAAAAACCCTGAAAAATTAGTGTAAGCTCTGAATGAAAACCTAAAACTTAGGGTGAAGACATAGATTATGTCAAGGGCTTCTTGGTAAGGGAGTCTTGACTTGCTTTGTTGCCCAGGATCCACTGAGGTGGCAGAATTCACTCCTACAACCTCAATTACCAGCTCAGAATGAACTTTTATCACCAGACCCACMTTATTGATACAATTTTTGGAAGTATTTCATTGCATTTTCTACTTTAACTGGGATGAAGGTCTTTTATTTTCTATTTTAACTTAGATGAAGGTCTTTTATTTTCTGTTTTAACTTGGATGAAGGTCTTTTATTTTCTTTTTTAACTTGGACGAAGGTCTTTTTTTTTTTTTTTTTTCTTTTTTCTTTTTAGCCAGCAGTGCCTGTAAAAAGGAGGTCAGCATTTCACTGCTGGCACTGGTTTGTGTCTTGTAAGACATCTGGTCAGAACATGCCCCACTGCTGGTGGTGGTTCCGTGGCCTCAGCCGTGCCAAATTCTGTCAGTCACCGCCCAGCTCGGAGATCTGAGTGTCACAAAGTTCTCCAGAGGGCCTTCAAATCCTTCTAATTGCCTTTGTGGCTGAGCATTACCATGATAAACCATTTGGCATGGTGAAAACAAGAGTTGTAAGGGCCCATCTTGGATGTTAAACACTGGAGTGCTTTTTCATGGATCTTGGTCTCTTTGTTGGTGACTTTAGCCTGTAATAACGCTCATAACTCTGCAGTGTCTTTTATTAACAGGGAATTACAAGGTACTGACACTTGTGCTAGAGCAGACCTTAAAATTTACCAGGCAAATGATTTTTATGTTGTTCAGAACTTCCCATGTTCTGTTTGATCAGCAGAGCAAGTCGTGTCTTCCAAAGAGATAGGTAAATGAAATCTGTGAGTCTTTTATTGTTTTGCTTTCTCTTTTACATGGGGTCCAAACTCTGAGGCACCTGTTTTTCACAGTCTTTGTTGATGTGGATGCTGGTTTCACCTGAATTGTGTCTCTTAGAGAAATGAGGGTTTAGCCCTGAGGTTTGCAACTCTTTTCTGTCTCATTGTTCATTACATTGTTATCTTTAAAAGCTTGTATTGACACATTCATTATAAATGATAATTAAAATAGGCTGAC